AATGATGAATGGATAAGAAAAATGTCGTATTTATACACAAAGGATTAGTATGGTGCCATAAAGAAAGAAACTCGAGGCATTCATAGGTAAATGGATACATTTTAAGAACACAAATCTTAGTGAAATTTTGTATTTCCCAAATAAGTTTTTTTTTTTTTTAATATATTTGGTGTAAGTCTCACTACACAGCTCGGATTCGGGGTTCCAGGCATGCTTGGTGACAGTGGCTGGCTCAGCATGCCGAGGGACAGGTCCCTGCACCTGCCTAAGCAGGCACTTAGTCTGCTGAGCTATCTTGCCTGTCTTCCCCCATATAAGACCTAACTGTTAATTAAGCTCTACCATGATTTTTCAGAATGCTCAGAACGCTGAAAAGCAAACCCTGTTTTAGATTATCAGTTACATGAACACTTTTAGTAACCTACTGCAATATGACTGATGTGTTAAATTATAAAACCATATTAATACATAAATAAATATAAATATTATTAACATTACTACTTAAAGAAAATAAATTATAATTAATCATTTGTAAATACCCAAGCAAGAGTTTTTGGATAAGAGATAAACACTGACATAGATAAACTTGACATTTATTACCAAATGACCAGAGTACAAATACAGCACAATTAAATAAAGTATGCACTTGATAATGAAGGAATGTGGTTGTGTCTAACATGAATTTTCATGATTCAACCTTTCAACTGTTGTAATGGACATACTTAATGCACTCATGTGAAATAGATAAACATTTTCTGAATTTCAGTGCTTGCAATTAATTATTCACTGCTTTTGTGTGAACCATTATGCTTAACTGTCATCATTTTTGTTTCCATTCCGGTCTTCTAAGTCTTCAATGAATACTTGATTTAATGGAAAATTTGTGAAACCTAGCTGCAAGAGGTCACGACCTGGGCGAAGAATTCATGGGGTAAAATCCCTGACAGCTGAGTGGCCACTGGACTGCACGGGGCTACAGGGACAGGAAGTGCTCATTTAAGGAGCGCTGGATTGCTGAACAGGAGAGTGGGGCCAGCAGTTCTACAGCGAATGGAGCTGTAAGAAACTCAGGCTGGAATCCGGGGTTTGGAGAATTATGATAATGTCTCAGAAGATGACATGACTGTCTTGGAACACATGTACACTGTTTTTTATATGAATAAATGCAGATTGTTTTACATGAAAAAATAAAGCAGTCCCTGAAAATAATCCCTACTGCATGTTTTGGAACAAAAAATAATATAAGAGCCAGTCTTATTTTGGGAGAAACAGCAAGTCAGGCATGCAATTCAAATACTGTGTGGTTTCTTTTATATGAGAATCACTATACAAATAATGGGAAAAATAGAAGAGAAATAAATAGGAAGAACGGAGAAGTTCAAATACTTCCCCAGATTATGTATTTCATTGCTTTAAAAATATTTCTTTTTTTGGGGGGGGGGGGGGGGGTACCAGGGATTGAACTCAGAACCCTGAGCTTTTCAGGAAGCCATTTAAGCTGCTGAGCCATCTCCCAGGCCCTAAAAATATTTTATTTCATTTATTCTAACAGTTGATCTTCAATTGTTGAAATGAAAGTTTGTACTATTATCTGTTTATTTTTTGTAAGATTTTTTTGGTTTATGGCTTATAGTGAGTACTTTGAAGATAATGCTACACAGTGCAATAACTGTTGTTATTTTCTTACTATTTGGTCATGAAAATTTATTTTTTTCATAAAATAAAAAAGATGGAATTAAAAAAGTAATAGCAACTAGGATGGGAAAAGGAGAAAAGAAGGGAAAATAAACATACACACACAAAGAAGATACCGAAGATGACTGCTATTAGTTCACTGAAATGAACGGTTAATGCTTATACAGATTGATCAATTTCACATGACTATGTCTTGTAATCTGAGCAACTACCTTGAAGATCATAATACATGACATAATAACCATTGTTAATTTCCTATCATTTTATTTTGAAATTCTGTATTATTTTTTCTCTTTAAATTCAAAAAAAATGCAGATTTAAAAAATGAAATAGGGGGCCGGAGAGATGGCTCAGTGGAATTGGCGCTTCCCTGGCAAGCGCAAGGGTCTGAGTTCAATCCCTAGTTCTGCCAAAAAAAAAAAAAGAAAAAAAAGAAATAATCTGTATTTAACTTATTTAACTGATATTTATTGAAGTCTTATGTGCTAGGCAGGTATTGTATTAAACCTTTCATGTATCAGGGTAGATGCCCCACAAGCATATGCCCCACATATCTTTGTCCATAGTCCTGCTTTCACACTCACTTTATTTCCTTCCACAAGTAAAACATCAATCTGATCTTTTGTTTCTGATATTTTTTTCCCTGAGGTTTAGAGGGACTGGTTCTTTATTCAGAAAGACACCTAACAATATTCAGTATTAAAACAACTGCACTACTGGTTGTATTGTTTTCCTGACTGGTCCCCAGACCACGATCCAGGAGCATACCTCTTAAGCCCATAAGCCGCAGCATGTATACTTAACAGACCTCACAGAACCCTCACCTAAGAGTGGGGCATGGGTGGGGAAAGCTTCCAAAGATCGGCACACTGCCAGCCCAGACTGAAGAGAACTCCTCACAGCCAGATAAGCTAGCCATGCACTCCAAGCAAAATTTCAAAATAATATACAATTTTATATTTTTTATACATAAGCTGTTCAAGATTTCTCCAGCACTGACCAATACAAAGCACAATGAGATGCTACTTTTAGAGACAGCAGCTTCAGACCCAGAAAAAGTCAGACGAATGTCGCATGGCCGAATCAGTGGCAAAAACATCACTTTCCTTTTCTAAGGACAGGAAAGAAATTAAGTGGTCACCTCAAAATTAAAGGAGGGACACACAATCCATTCTGTGAGTAGCGGGGAAAGGGTACAAATGAGACAAGAATTTGGTCTCAGGGCTGGGGACGTGGCTCTTGATAGAAATATTTCAGATATTTCTGAAATTTGTTTCTGATAGTCCTTATGTGCTAGGCAGGCATTGTAGTAAACCTTTCATGTATCCGAGTAGTTGCCCCACAAACATTAGCACATATCTTTGTTCCATACTCCAGGAAATTTCAAATAGAAATACTGAAAGAAAGTGGCACTTATTAGATGAGGAAAGAAAATAGGATTCTAATCATACTTAACTAAAAATGACAAACCTAAAGATTTCAAAGATGGTAAGAAAGTCTTTCCAGTATTTTACCTATTATTATTATTATTATTATTATTATTATTATTATATTTGTGTGTGTGTGTGTGTGTGTGTGTGTGTGTGTGTGTGTGTGCAGGGTCTCACTATGCAGCTCAGATTCGTAGTGATCCTCCTGATTTTTGCTTCCCTAGTGCTGGGATTGCAGGCATGTGCCACCACGCCCGGACTTCATCACCAGCTCAGCACACTTGGGGGCGGGCCGGTGCAGCATGCAGTGACCGGAATTGAACCCTGGCCCCTGTGCTTACCTAAGCCTGCTGAGCTATATAGCCAGCCCTTACCTATTATTCAAATGTCATTAATATGGAACCTGTAAGTATTACAGGCAGCTGAGTTAGAAATATCATAGGCAGTCAGACAGGGCTAGGCCCTTGAAGGAGACAATGTGGAAGACAAAATGACCTTGCAACTTTGGGGGAAACAGACACTCGTGCTGTGGGCCTGTCCTCAACAGAAGAGTACACAAATGCAGCCACATACTTCCCAGGGATGGGCATCAGGGATTGATATTCTAAATAGGTATCAGTCATCTTGAAGAAGCCAGAAAGAGTCACTAACCCAGCCCCCAACAGGAAGAGCTCCTGCTTCCTTCCTATCCCTGCCTGCTTGCTATGTGACTTTCCTCATTTGATCTTGATTTCACCAATTTTACGTGAGCAATTGTACTTGTAGTCTTTCTGGTTAACCACAGTTTTGGCCCACCTCATGTGCAAGTTCCCATTTTCCTACCTGTATCCATGCCATATCATAGTTTTTTGCTCTATAAAAATCCCTAGAAACTACGGATCCCTGGACAACCTGCTCAGGTCCCCTCTGTCTGGGACATAAGCTTTCTTTTCCCCAAATAAATATATTCTACTCTTAACCTCCCTTGTTCCTAAAATTCATTCTTCAGTCTTAGAAAACATGAACTCATCCCAGGTATCTTTCAGGTTGGGAGTTTCACTCTCCTATATAATAAGGAATGGAAAGTGCTTGAAGCTACATTGGTTGGAAAAAGTAGTATGTAATTATCTGGCTGGATACTAGACAAAGCTGCACCTTAGAACTAGGACAGACATCCTGGAAGAAAAAGGGAATGAAGCAAACCATCAGGTGTCATAAAGCTACAGTAACATAAACTGCCTTGTACCAGTGTATTAGCTAAACCCAGTTATATAACCAACATATGTTGTACTTGACATCTATACAAATACTGATGCAATGGAGTTGTATGCTATAAAACATCATTATATGACTGAAACAAAAGGAAACATAAAAGAATACGCTCAACATATTTGCTATCTGTTTTTATCACTCAAGGAACTAAAATTTGCAAAATAGTTAAAGTACAATGTTTGATACAAAAAAGCTTAAGGGTATAAACTGAAATAAAACTAATGACTGTGTTAAGGTGACAAATGCCAGAATCATCTTAAAATACAAAGCAGACATTCTTGTCCTACACACAACCTCCTAAGTTCTCTGACACTACTGTACATATATATAGTATGTGTAATCCAACCACTAGTCACATAAATATCAAAGTTCTACATAAATGAGGCCTTAAAATTTGACATGGTAGTATTCTATTATTTTCTAATTTGTTTCTATTAAATGGATAGAGTGAAAATCAAAACAAAATACCCTACAACTTCAGTATCAGTTATCCTGTTCAGTCTGAAAACGTGTACACATCAGCTGACTTGAGTACAAAGCTGAGTTGGAAGTTGTGCAGAATGAGCAACATCTTTTGGGTTTGCAAGTGCTAATGAGAGGTAAGATTTCCAGGGTCACGCTCACCTGGTTCCCCCCAAGTCCATGGCATGTGTACAAAATCAGTGGTTTGCCTCCTTGATTATTCTCTCCAACGTCCAGACACAGAGGCTGACCAACACTTTTAATCTAAAGGAAAATTGTCAAGTCATTTAAAAGAGTTAAGTCTATCTAGTTTACATTTTGTCAATAAACTCTACAGAACATTACTTGTTATTCCAGAGGTTATGATTGTTAATAATAATGATGTAAAATCTCAAAAGCAAGAAGCTAGAAAGTATGCCAGCAATTTTCCCTGAACTATGGAACTGGTGGTAGCAAGAAGTCTATCAATTAAAAAAAGGAAAATACTCACATATCCAGCTATCACCGGATTAAGGTCTGGCACATACACTTCTGGATAAATGGTGTTCAAATACCATGTAAAATTTTTACACTGCAAGCGTTTTCTTATTGCAAGTCTTTTTGAAAGATCACCAAATGATTTCTAGGGAAAGATGAGAAGTGAAGGGTATACTTAATCAAAGCAGCTCCGGTAAAATATTCTAAAGGCTATTATTTGTACTATATTTAGGTATTAAAATATAAAGTTTTGCATCGATAATTCAAGATGCATTTACCATCATTCATGACTTGTTCAGGCAACTAGCATGGCTGACTGTCCATTTCCAGATTCAGAGAGAATCACATACCTTTGTAGCGCTGACCAGGTGCTATTTTATTCTTCATTAGTACCCACAAACATCTCTTATATGACGAAGAGCTCTTCTGAAATGTAGGTGCCAGAATGGTAGTGGGAGCATCTTAAATTGATCGTAATTTTATTTTTTTATTTTTTCTTTTAGACTCAAAAGTTAGCAGCCCTTTTTATTTTTTTTCCATAATTTTATTGAGAAACAAATAGCAATGAGACAGCTTCAAATCAAATTGGTAGGACAGTTTCCATAATGAACACATTGCATACATTCTTCCCAGTGGTTAATTGCTGTACAAGATGCGGACATGATATCCTATGTACAAACACTATTAGAACAAATCCCTCTATTCATTAACAGAATGTAACTATATATCTATCCTAACCACTTTGAATACACAGATACAAAAGGAACATTCATCTGTATCCCCTTTTTTGTTTAGTTCCATCATTTGAATATTATAGGTGTGTGAACTCAGCAAACCATTCCAAGAGTCCAGTAGTCCATAACAGAAAAATATGGAACGCTTCACGAATTTGGTGTCATCCTGGCACAGGGGCCATGCTCATCTTCTCTGTATCGTTCCAATTTTAGTATATGTGCTGCCGAAGCGAGCACGGTCATAACTTTATACCAAAAAGTGATCTATAAAGTGACTTGTGGGAAAGTATGTGTAAACAATGTGAATACAGAATACAATTTAGATCTCTTGTTAGGAATATAAAATGCTCTTCCTCAACAACACAGTTGTGAATAATTTCTAGTTTAGGGAGCCTGGGAGATGGCTCAGTAGAATAAGTGCTTGCCTGGCAAGCACAAGGGCCTGAGTTCAATCCCC